ATGTATTTACATATCTCACTTCAAAACATTCATATTTATACAAATATCACTCAAATCCTTAATGCACATGAAAAAATAGAACTATTATCATTTTTGGAAAGTGAAATACACCGTTTCACGCATAGGTTTAAAGCACGAAAGTGTTTTGTATGTAAATATTAAAGTTTGGGTGTGAAATTGGTAAATACATAAGAATTGTGTGCTACTTATGTTAATTTTCCTTTTTTTTAAATTTAACACTCAAGTGCTGAGTGACGTCTCTAATTGGATTTTTGTATTTTCTTTTGATGTTTTTTTTAATGGTTGTTTCACAAGAGAGAACAATAGTCTGCGGTATTTTTGTTTTCTTCGCACCTTACCCAGTTGCTAGACAAACCATCAGTAAAGGAGGATAATATATTATAAGTTTTATCTTCCACCAATGGATTGTATGGGGCTTGAAAGCAAGCAGATGCTTTTTAAAGCTTCTTTTTGTGATTTGGTCAGATCAGCTCAAAGCTGTACATGGTTTTAAAAACTCAATTTTCACTTGCTTGAATTTTTTAGATGCGAAGTAAAATTTGGAAGCAATGTCAGCATATTTGCATATTACTTTATACAAGAAAAATTAGAACAAACTATTTTTAAATATTCTCTTTTTTTCGGTCATCTATGCTTATATTGATTTCAACTCAGACACGCAATATGATTGGAAAATAAATTAACAAATCCAATTTCTCTAGCATATGCTGTTGTCTTTGTACAACTTAATAATGATTCTTAGCGCGATTATGATCTGTAGTATTTACTTGATCAGAAATGTATATTTCTTCAAGATTGTTTATTATTTGTGTGAAAGAATCTTCTTATGCTATAAAGTTAAGTTAATTGTTCATTTTGTGCTATTTAGGTTGATTCATCGACCTTTTTGGATTTTTTGCATTCTTATGGCTTAATCTTCTGGGCATTTACATACTTACACACAATTTTTATGTATTTACATATTTGACACCTAAACATTCATATTTACTTGCATATCACTCAATTCTTTAACATCACATCAACAATATCACGGTCACTATATTTTTAAAAGTACAATACACTTTTTCATGTACAAGTTTATGAAAACAAGTTGTTATATGTGTAAATATAAAAATTTGGGTTTTAGATATGTAAAATACATTAAGAATCGCGTGTTATCATGTATTGCATGTAAAATACATGATTTTTTACCCTTAATTATTTTGCCCAATACAGCCAATCATGTTCTGATCATCTTCTTCAGGCAAAATGATACATATTGCAGGCGCATTTCTTCTTGATGATGTTTTTGTCTTCACGGTGTCTATATTTGGAGGGTTTTCTTCTTGAAATGTGTTTTGAACTAGTATGCTAAATAACTTGTGATTTGTAGTATTTATCAGTTATTAAGTAAAATTTAATTATATTTTTATATGCAGGGTGCTATCTGTCAACAATTTTACTGGAACAATTCCTAATGAATTTGGAGGCTTGTTAATGCTGGAGTTATTGGATTTGAGGAGTAATCATTTGAGCGCGGTTCAATTCCATTGGAGCTTGGGTATTTGCCATCACTCAAGTGCCTGTGAGTAGATAATCAGAAATCTTGTTATATCTTCTAATTGAACAGTAATTTTTATTTGGAAGATTTACATACATACCACTTAATTCCTATGTATTTACATATCTAACACCCATACTTTAATTTTTACATATGTGCCACGTTACATGAAAAGGTGTATTTCACATTTTTAAAAGTTGAAATAGTGGTATTTTTTATGTGTTATGAAAGATTTGGGTGGTATAAATGTAAAAAGGAAAATTTAGGTGTTAGACATGTAAATACATAAGAATTGGGTGGTAAATATGCAAATGCTCTTTTTTTTTTTCTGTTCTTATGGACAGTAATAGTTATCTGTGTTCTTTTCTATTTCTTACAGTTTGCTCTGTGAAAACAAATTTGAAGCTGGAACTCATTCCTGGATGGAGAAGATTAACATGAAATTTCAACAGAAAAACAACAAAAACCTTCCTTGTGTGAACACAAAATTTGGGCTCTGGTAAGATTATATTCAAGTTTGATTGAATATCTGTATGGTTGCCGCATCTTATAATGCATGCAATAGAAATATTTGGTTACTGAATTATTTTACTTTCAACACAACAACAACAACAACAACAACAACAAAGCCTTAATCCCACTATGTGGGGTCGGCTACATGTATCCTTTTTTTCTCCATTGCGTCCTATTTAGTGTCATATATTCATTTAGTTCTAATAAATTAAGATATTTTTTTATACAATAAGCCCAAGTTTTCCTAGGTCTACATCTGCCTTTCTTAACATAAGTTGAAATTAAAACATCCATTTTCTTAATTAGATCATCAGATGGTGAACGTTTAATGTAAACCATCTAAGATGAGTTTCTCTAATTTTGTCTGTCACTGGAGCTATACCAACCATATCACGGATATAATCATTTCGAATTTTGTCTCTAAGTGTGAAGCCACTCATCCACCTGATCATTCTCATCTCGGCAACACTTAACTTAGTACATTCTACTCATTCTTCTGTATTTACATGTATAAGGCTTGAATGTTTTTCGCATATACCACTCAAATCTTTCACATCACATCAAAAATACCACCAATTTAACTTTTAAAAATTGAAGTACACCTTTTCATGCATAGATAAGATGGCATGTATGTAAAAATTAAAGTTTAGGTGTTAGATATGTAATTACATAGGAATTGAGTGGTACATATGTAAATCTTCCTTTTTTTTTAATAAGTGAAAAGCCACCATAGACTAGAGGAAAATCATGCGTTATGTTTTCATACTTTATTAACTTAAAAATTCAAATCTGGGATAATATGATTTGTATAAAGTATAATTCATAATTTTCTATTGCATAGTTTGATGGCAGAGAAATATTATACTATTTTATTTACCTAAACGAGTTTTGGGCCAATATATATGTGTATATATATGTGTGTTTATGTCTATTTATATTGGGAAATTTGAGCTACTCTTTAGACTTTTCATTGTTCTACTGGTTGAAACATTTTAATTTTGATGATGGGTTCATTTCTCACTTTGCTGGAAGCTTTAGTTTTTTTTTCCTAAGAATTCAAGTAAATCAAATGTTGATAGATAAGCACCATTGTTTTGGGGGCATTTACATACATACCGCCCAATTCTTATGCATTTACATATCTAACACAAAATATTTATTTTTTACATTTATACTACATAAATCTTTCTTACCACGTCAAAAATACAACGACAACAACAACGAACCTTATCCCACTAATTTGGGTCGGCTGCATGAATCCCTTTTGTCCATCGCGTCCTATTGAGTGTCATATTTTTATTTAACTCTAATAAATTGAGACAATTGTTTTATACAATATGCCCAAGTGTTTCTAGGTCAACCCATGCCTTTCTTAACATAAGTCGGATCTAAAACATCTACTCTCCTAATCAGATCATCAAATGGTCGACGTTTAATGTGACCAAGCCATCTAAGACAACTCTCTCTAATTTTGTTCTCCACTAGAGATACACCAACCCTATCACGAATAAATTCATTTCACATTTTGTCTCTAAGTGTAAAGCCACTCATCCACCTAAGCATTCTCATCTTGCAACTCTTAACTAAGTTTTATGCTTCTCTTTTAAAGGCCAACATTCAACACCATAGAACATTGCTGGTCTCACTACTATCTTATAAAGTTTTTCTTTCAGTCTAAACAAGACTTTACTATCAAACAATAGGTCCGAAGCATTCCTCCATTTCAACCAACCAACTTGAATTCTGCTAATAACATCCCCATCTATATAAACATCACTTTGAACGATAGACTCGAGATATCTAAAACATTCACACCTTTTAATAATTTGATCATCCATAGTTACAACTTTGTCACTAGAGCTACTACTACTAAAATTATATTCAATATATTCAGTTTTAGTTCTACTGAAACGAAGGCCTATAGAATCCAATGTCGATCTCCATAATTCAAGTTTTCCCCAAGCTTTCTCTCTAGTCTTATCCACGAGAAGGATATCATTAGCGAAAAGCATACACCAAGGTGCATCCTTCTGTAAATGTCCAGTAAGAGCATCCATAACTAAAGCAAAAAGATATGGGCTTAAAGCCGATCCCTGATGTAATCCAACTGAAATAGGATAATATTTTGTCAATTCTCTTTCTGTTCGAACACAAGTAACAACTCTAGCATACATATCTTTATTGAATTGAATATAAGTCATATCAACACCTTTCTTCTCTAGAACTCTCCAAA